TAGGTTAACAGACATCATCAGCTTTACTTTCAACCAATCATGTGGTTTGTTTCATCTCAATGATTATAATCCCCTCCCTGAAAAAGCAGTTACCCTGTTTCCACCCTCTGGCATCCTTTTAATCTTATTGTTCACAAATGAACAAAGCAAAAATATTTGATGTATACATACAAAACAAAAAAATCCAGGTTTGTTTAAATGTCCAAAGGGCACATTTTGCAAGCCTGTCTCCTGCCCACAGGCACACAGCATTTCTCAGTCCATGAATTTAGAGCCTGCAGCTGCTCTGTCTCTTCATGCCATCGCCTCTGCCACTGTCTCGACTGTTACTGCTTTTCTAGGTGGGATCTTATGCTCCACTCCTACTCTTCCTTCTTAATGGTCCTAGGATCCTCTATTCCTGCAATGAAAGATAACTTCTCCCGAGTTTTAGTTACACATCTTCTACAATTACAGTTGTGACCATCGCAATTAATCCTGCTAACAATTACTCACATTTGAATCATAAAATGCTGTCACCATCATCTCCTACTTCTTTTCGCCAGATCCATCTGGCAATGAGGAAAACTGTTCAGTGGGTATTCTAGTTTATCACCCTTGTTCTGAAACTAAGCACACTCATGAAAGCTTGTAAGCAAGCCACATCATGCCTTTATAGCCCCACATTTTTTTTTTTTAAAAAAAGGTTTTATTGTAAATTGAGTGAAAGTTCACAGGGCATGCCATCAGTTCAACAAATCTTATTTTGTTTCATTGCAATGATTATAATCCCCTCCATGCACCATCAGTTAACAGTATTTACATCTATTTCTTTTCTTTTCTTTTTGATGTACACATACCAAATGTCCTAAGAGCATATTTTGTAAGCCAGACTCCTGCCCACTAGCACACATCCTTTCTCATGCTATTGGCCTAGAGTCCTCAGCTGCTTTCTTTCTCTATGCCATCGCCTCTGCCTCCATCTCTGCCATTTCCACTTTTCTGGTTAGGATCCCATTCATTCTTTCCTCTTGCTGGTCCTAGGGTCCTCTGTTCCTGAAATGGAAGATTAATTACTCCTCCCTTTTAGCTTCACATCTTCTGCATTTACCCTGTGGCAATCATAGTCAGTCATAATAACAATTATTCACTAATGAATCATAAAATCCTATCCCCCTCCTCCCTCATCCTCTTACACCAGACACATCTGGAAAAGAGGAAAACTACTCAGTGGGGTTCTACCTTAACCCTTCATTCTGAAACCAAGCACACTCATGAAAGCTTGTAAATCATCTACTTTGTGCCTTTATAGCCCTCCATTTTTGATAGCCATTTTTCAAGTTACCCATCCCTATCAACCCAGTGTACTGAGGAGGCAAGCTTGATCCTTGATATGCAGAATCCTTCCCTTTTGGTTGAAATTTTGAGCAACTACATCCGTAAGCAAAGGTCAAGGTCATCAAATTGTAGCAATTTATGCTTACACCCTATATCAAACTTCTTGATCTTCATCTGGTTGAGTTCTGGTCAGCTAGCCACCCAAGTTATGTCAAATGGGTACTGTGTGCAAGTTTAGAAGTTCTCATACTCCTCCCCCCACTTCAGACCAGCTGGCCACTTCACTCTCAATTCTAGCCCTCATTGGCGAGGTCAGTGCCCATGGGTTTGAGAATTCACATGCCTCCCTAAGCTTTGGACCACCCAGCCCTTCCTCTTCTCTCTCTCTCATCTCAAAGTCAACAGGTGCCTTTGGAACATGGCCAAACTCAGCTCATGTCTCCATTGCTGCATTTGCCCAACTTCTGCTCACAAGTAGACCAGAGTGGTCACAAGCAAGCTTATAAACCTGCTCATGTGTTCCCTCCAAGTTTCAGTCTTAGAAGAAGGTTTACCTTGATAGGCTGACTTTTCTTGCCATGATGACTCCAAAACAAACAGCTTGCTTGATCTTGTAACAGCCAGTCTGCTTTTTTTTTCTTTTTTTTTTTTTTTCCTGCTAGCCTTTCTTTAAAGAACAAGAAGTATCGTCTGTTCCTCTGGCTGCTCCAGGTTGGTCTGCATGTCTTTTCAAGTGGGAGTGTCCCAGCTCAGAAGGTTCTGAGTGGGGTTCAGGAATCCACCTAAGGCCCCATACTCGATAAAAGCTTAATAAGAAGCCTGATTTCCCTCGGCAAATTCTGGTTGCCATAAGTCAGAATCAATGATGGCAGTGGGCATTTTTGGATCTTGAGAAATAAGTCTACTACACATGCATGTATAATGGTCTCTCTTCCTCAGAACCCTTAATTGATTCTTTGTGTCTTATAACCAGGATGTCTGTATTAGATACCCAGATCAGGCCTACCTTTCCAGACTCATCATACCTCAATGATACAGGCCTTTCAGTTCCTTTTAGGAGACATATGTTCCCTACTTCTGTTTTCAATGTACTCCCTCTGTTTCCCACAGCACTTAATCCTTGGTCATTCTTTAATTCTTGGGACAAGTTTAATTCTTGGGGCAAGAGTGCTCTCTCTGACTTGCAGGGTAGATTTGGTCCTCTTTATTTTACATACTCATAATATCCTGTGATTTTATTTCTAGAGAAGCTGTTCTAGTTTATAAGCATATTTTTGCATTGTTATTTTTCCACTCTTTCTCCAATTAGAGCACAAGCTTCAAAGGGCAAGAATCATGTCTTTTTAGGTCATAACTGTTTGTTACTCCTTGTGTTTAGCCCAATTGCTGGCATATGATAGAAGGTCAATAAATATTTTCATGTTTATGTAGTCTGTACAGAACATGCCTGAGACATTTATACAGTTCATAGAGAATGATTTGATAAGAAGTGACTCACAAACTACTTTTGTCCATAGCTCTGGTATCCTGGGTAGTTTAAGAGATTCCAGGGTAGGAATGCTTTTCCCATCTCTCTGGATTGGAATGCACCCTCACCTAGATTTTCACATTCTTGAAGTGTTTTTCCTTTTCCTGTTTCTTCAGTGACATTTTTATGTTTGAGTCTAAAGCCCTACAGTCAGGAGATAGATCATGTTTAATATAAATGGCAGTAAAACTGCCCAAGCAATGAATGTGTTATGTAGACACAGTGAGTAAGCAAATAAGCTATGTGATATTAAGCTGTGTTTTTGTGTACCTTTTTGGAGATGGTACTGAATTCCCAGAACACAGAATATGATTTATTTTTGTGATATTCTGCATCAGCAAATAGGGTATATATTAGATGCTTGGAAAATTCTTAGTTACAAATTTACCTCTCACTGTCTTCATTTATATGTCTTATAGGCAACTTTAATTTTCTCTGTTACTCTTTTCAGAAAGAATAACAAACTTGATCACCTTACATCCTATATGTCTCATTGTGGACTATCAATGTTATTCTTCAATTAAAATGCAAATTCTCAAATAACGATAACTCCTATACTGATAAACTTATTAATGAAATTCATAGGATCATACAGACATTGTTATAGTAAAGTATTGCCTATTTTAATTCCAGAAGAGAGCCATTGCTTCTCATCAATAAGAAAGTAGGATTAAAAGTAAAGAACATGAGTGAAGATTATATTTACAGAGCCTGTCTATGTATTCAACAAATGTTTATTAAGTGCCTATTTTTGTGCATGAATTTGGGAAAACTCAGACAAAGAGATGGGCATTTTCTATGAGACTTAGAATTTTATTTCAGATGATAACATGCTGATAAGAGCTGAGTTTAAGTCTATTTTTTTTTTTTTAGGTGTAGAATGAGGATCAAAAATACATATCTCATAAAATTGTTGTGAGGAGTAAATAAGGTGGTAGATTTAAAACACCCTGGGCAGGGGCGCAGTATTGAGCCTACTCAGGGCTTGGGCTGTTCTCTGCTCCTGAGAAGCGTGTCCCGCCCATTGTTCTGCAGGCACTGCACCTACTGGGGAGGACTCCATCGGGGCCTCTTGCAGGTCTATGCTGCGGCCTTGAAGTAGACAGGTGTAGGGAGACATGAATAATGGGCATTTATCATCAAGCAAACCTTTGGGAACACTTATACCAGTGCCTCACATGCAATAAACACATAATGTGTATTATTATTATTATTATTATTATTCTGAGATTTTGTTCCTACCTAGCCTCATATTTATTTTCCTCTGTTTCTCCTTAATTGTTTTATTCCATGTTGCCATCAGAGCTAAAATTTTAAAACCTGGGTCTGATTGTGCAGGCTCTTCTATACTATCTTCCTAATATTTAAAAGACTTCAGTGGTTTTCTGTTGTCTGAAGAAGAAAGTTTAAAGTGCATGTGTGGAACTGAGCCCCTCACCATCCATCTGTCACTTTTTTTTTTTTTTTTGCCAAACCAGCTTTTGCCTTGACCATCCACTTGGTTGCACCCAAAAAGACTGCATACTCCTATACTTCCTCACCTTGACTTGTGCTTTTCCTCGTGCATAGAGTTCCCACTGCCTCACCTTGTCTTTTCACCCACAACCTGAAGAAACAGTTCTCCATGGGCAAGTCTTGAGATTGTTCTTATTCTTCCCAGACAGAATTTGTTGGTCCCTGTTCATTTCATCTCCCTTTATCATTATATCAGCTGTTTAGCATTTATCAGATGTTATTTAAGTGTTTCATTTTTTTGTGCATAAGATTGCTATGAGTTCAAGCCGACTCAACAGCACCTATGAAAAACATCAACAATTAAAGCTATTTATGTATATATGGAGTCCTGGTGTGGTGCTGTGGGTTAATGTGCTGGACTGTAAAGTTGGTTTGATCTGTAAGGTTTGTGGTTCAAGCTCACCAGCTGCTCCTTGGAAGCCCTATACAGGATCGGTATGGGTCAGAACGGACTCGATGGCACTTAACAACAACAAATATATATATCTTGCTGTCCACTAGCTTGTGAGTTCCTTGAGAGCAAGGATTATACCTTATCACTATATTACCTGGACCTAGTGGTCACCTCAGTAGAATTTGATGAAATAATGTATTGAGATCTGATTTGTGTTTTGATTTAAATATGGTTTTGTGATTCCAGATTCTGGGCCTTATCCAAAACATGAGTGTTTTCCAGTGTCCACAGTGTAAACACAGAACTCACATATTTGGTGCTGATGGTGCAAGGAAACTAGCACAGATCCTTGATCTTGATGTTTTAGGTAAGACCATCGGATGTTACTTTGCATAGGAAGTGGCAGAAGGGAAAGTGGGAATGAGGCATGGTGATGAAGAGAGTTTCAGAAAGTGACAAATTAATTTGGTTTTGTGTTTTAAATTAAGTTGGTATAGCGCAGTTCTATGTTAACCTTTCTTTGCCTTCGTAGAATACTTAATTAGTGGAAGTCTTTTTGAATAAGGAGATTAGCTCTCCCATCTATGATAATAACTTCTCCTTTAGATAAAAAAAGAGAGTCCTGGTGTGGTGCAGTTAGGATAAGCACTGGACCACAAGGTTGGTTTGAACTGCAAGGTTGGCAGTTCAAACCCACCAGATACTCCTCCGAAATCCTATATAGAGCCCCTATGAATGAGAACTGGCTCGGCGGCACTAACAACCTAGATATAAACTGCTTATAACTTCAAGTTGTGCTTTATGATCTCATTACTTTGAATGGAAGCCCATATTTTAAATTAGGGTCATAATTTTGTTTGCTAACTTGGGAACTCATTTCTCAGTATGTTGTTGTTGTTAAGTGCCATCGAGTTTGTTCCGACTCTTAGTGACCCAGTGTAGAGTTTCCAAGAGCAGCTGGTGGGTTTGAACTAGCAGCCTTGTGATTAGCAACCCAGTGCTTATCCTGTAGCGCAACACCAGGGCTCATTTCTCAGTATAAGCAAATATATATAAAATGACCTCTTCAATATTGTTTTAGCAACCTCTGGAAGCATCCCTTCCTGGTACATATGTAAAAATGCTTGTTTTATGTAATCTTTGTATTTATATTTGCCATGTCTATAAAAAGGAGTTCTCGTAGCATAGTGGTTATGGTCAGGCTCCTAACTTCAAGGTCAGCAGTTCGAAACTACCAGCCATACTGAGAAAGATAAGGCTTTCTGCTCCTGTAAAGATTTATAGCCTCGGAAACCCTGTACAGGGTCGCTGTGAGTTGGAACCAACTCCATGGCACATAAACATCATCCACCACCATGTCTATAAAATATGACACCTGAAAATTTTTTTGCATATCTTGTGTACAGCACAAAATGGAAAGATGAATTTGTGTTAGACGGATAACTCAAATCTTATGTTAAACAAAACACATATTTTGGATAAAACATGATTTTTCAGAAGTCCATATACAACTTAATGGACTTTTTAGAAAACATGTTTTGCTGTTCTAATTATGAATGAGTTTCTATTGGGAGCAAAGACAGCTGTTAGCTGTTGAGTGAGAGAGGAATAGAATATGGATTATTAGTTTTAGGTAGTTAAAAATTAAGATCCCTTAGAGACTGAAGAATTTCAAAACATTCTCTGTTATAATTAAATTTTTAAAAGTTAAAGTTAAATGTTTTATTATTATTATGCATTTTCACTATAGCAGTCATCACAATACCAGGTGAATACTAATGATATATTTTGATACATTACTATAATTATAGACACTAATTATATTCTGCAACTGTTTTTCATTTAACTAACGTAAAAAGTTCAATTTATCAAATCTGCATAATAACATAACAGATTGACATTCACTTATCTAATAAAGTAAATGTGTAATTATAATAGCATTATTGAATTATGTTGGCAGTATTATCATTCCCTAACTTATAAATGGGTGGTACAATTTTGTAAGTCAGTTATTTAGAATTTGAAACATATCTCTTAGAGAAACAATCTCACATTTGGAAGTTCCCTTCTAACCACAAATGTACACTTACCCTAAAAATGTATCAGTAACACTGCTTACTGATCACAGAAAAAAGTATTTCCCCCCCAAACACTGTGTTTGCGGGGAAATACTTCAGAGTCCCACCCAACTTAAAGACACAAGTCTTCCTTTTAATGCATCCATGGCGTCTCAGAGGGGACTCCCATGATAGGGAACAAGGGTGCCAATAATGAAGAGGTCGGAACTGGGAATGAAGAACACAAAGTAGGGAAAGTTCTCATAGTCATGGCCTCCTGACTGATTGAACCCCTCATAGAGATCCTGTATAGGGTTTCCCAGGCTGTAAATCTTTACAGGAGCAGAAAGCCCCGTCTTTCTCCCATGGAGTGCCTGGTAGCCTCAAACTGCTGACCTCGAGGTCAGCAGCCCACTTCATAACTCACTATACTTCCAGGGCTACTTGACTGAACCCCTAGGAACCCTTATTTGTCCTTCACTGACTCCTTAGGTTGTGTTTTAAATGATTTTTTTTTTTGTAAAATGTCTCTACAAATTTTTGTCCATATATATGAACTAGCATGAAGAATAGTGAAGGTAGTCACTTCCCATCTTAGAGAAAAGCCCTTTAACCCATTATGTGTCTGAAATATACCCACACTTCCTTCAGTTATAGTCCCTAAATATACTCTCAATCTCAACACTGCCCCTACCTCATTCCCCACACCTTTAGACCCTATTATGCCTCTCTAGCTACAAAATGAGGCCTCTGGTCCTGTAAAGAATGACAGCCTGAGAAACCATATACAGGGGGGTTGCTATGAGTTAGAACCGACTCCATGGCACCCAGTAGCCTCAGCAGGGACTGTTACCATGTTACTCCTTTCACTCTGCTGACCTATTGTTGTCTTGTAACATTTTCCTCCTTCCTGGTCTACTCTTCTGCCTACCTATAGGTAGGTCTGTGAGTCCCTGGAAGACAGAAATAAGCTCACCAGTGACTATATTAAGGAGGTTTTACTCCTTCTACCTCCCCCCTTCTATTACTGCATTGGAAATGAAAGCGTACACAATGAAAATCTAGAAAATCTAGTGTAAAGGAAAAGGGAAAATCCTACAGGTTCCTAAGCATTTTCTAAAGCTTGTTTTCTCCCGTATAAACCCTTATTTCCTACAGAGTATAAAGCTGATCCATAGAATCGATATCCGATTTACTAAAAAGCTAATTTTTAAATGGATGCTGAAATACTCTGTATTTTGTCCTTTGGCTATTGAATGAATATTTAGGAAACACGTAAAAGCATTGATTAAGATTTCAAAACAAGCTGACAGGGGCATGAGTATCTGTTCCTCTGCCATGTACTTCATAATATAGATTGTAGTTTTTCTGTTAAGTGCTGTTGAGTTGGTTCTGACTTACAGGGACCCTATAAAGGGTTTCCGAGGAGTGCTTGGTGGGTTTGAACTGCCAACCTTGAGGTCTAGTGCTTATCCTACAGCGCCATCCCAGGACTCCAAGTAAAGAAGAAATCACAGGCCTTAACCCTGGAGTGGCTGCCACATGGTTTTCATAAATATCTGTGCAATCACTATACTACGCTCAGCTGGGATATTTTTCCAGTCATCTTCATTTGAGGTTTCTTTTTCAGAGATTTAGCAATTTGAAGATAGAATTCAAGTTGCTTTGAATTTATCTAGCTTCAGATTTTGTTGCTTTCTGAAGTTCAAATGGTAAAATTCTAAACGCCTATGGGAATTTCTCTGGTACTAATGTATATCTGGTGGTTCTTTTAGGAGACATTCCTTTACACCTTAATATAAGGGAAACTTCAGATACAGGACAGCCAATTGTGTTTTCACAGCCTGATAGTGATGAGGTAAGTTGCCTTTTAAACATACCCTGTTTGTTTCTTTTTATAAGATATATATGTTTTTGATGTACAGAAAGTTGAAAAGACCATGTCTGTCTATTTATAGTACATATATGTAAAGAAGGGACTATCAACCAGACAAGTCCATCCATAAAAAATCATCACTAAGAGTTTTCTCCCCAAGAACCTGAACAATGAAAACCTAGAAAATCCTAATTTTGTTGGCTAACAGTAACCTAACTTCCCAAGGTTATTACACTCCAGTCTTAGAACTTCAGCCAATTGTTAGGAGAAGGGAACTTAACATAAGGACATTTCATCAACCATTGAAGGTGACATTTTTATTGCATTTATTTTAATAAATATGATTGGGGAAGTGGGATGGAAACAAAAGTAGCATCTTATTATGTTGTTAAGTACATTTGAGTCACTTCTGACTCATTGGGACCCTATATAGGGTTTCCGAGGAGCGACTGGTGGGTTTGAACTATTGACATTGTGGTTAGCTGTCAAGTGCTTATTCTACAGCACCACCCCAGAGCTCTGTGTGTTTATTAGCAAACATCATTTGAAGTATAGTAAATAGATTCTCAAGGTTTTTGAGATTTTATGACTTTAAGTATAACCTTTTATTTCAATCTTTTAAAAAACGAAAGAGAATCACATATATCTCTTCTCTGTTAAGTAGCACTTGTTATATAAATTAGAAACTGGATCATCATCTGGTACATCAGTTTTGTACTATCATATGGTACATTTGGTTTTTTGTGTTCCTTTGTTGAATGGCTCTAATCTATCTTTTAAATTTTTTTTCCCTTATCTAATGGGTAAAACTTCAGAATAATATTATTTTTAACATCTATAACTACTGCCTTTACCATTCTAGTTTGCTTCCTGGATCTAATTTTCTTGGAACTGAAAATTTAAAAAGCCAAGTTTGGCTAGAACTGTGAATAAAGTCATTTGACAGTAAGTTGACAGGAATCTTGTCTAAGTAGCGTAATTTAAAGTTATTTCTTCAGAAGCTCAGAAATTCTTTCCCATTCTGTGCGTCTGCAGTTGTAGTAAAGACGATTCAGTTGCTAGGAATATGTGCTGTCTGAGTAAACACAGCTGAACATTTGTCTTTTTTCTGCTTTTTAGTATTATATAAATGTTAATAGGAATTTTCAGATAAGGAAATTTTATAGTTATTTCTTTCTTTCACAATTAAAGTCTGAGAATCCCAACTACCATAGGTGTACTTTACTTTATGCATTAAATGAAAACATATAAAAATGGAAGCCTTTATTTTAAAATAACATATTTTTAGTTGCCTCCTGAGAACAGACTATTTAAAAACATTCTGTAGTGATCCCTTATGAACAGAGTAAAAGCTAGTTTATTTCAATTATTAGTTTCAGTGTTTAATAAATAGTTTTTCACCTGTGCATTCCTTGTTCTTTTCTGAGATTCTCCAAAAGCAAGGAGCATTTAAAGAAAGTTAAAGGAGTGTAATAAAACAGAACATACAGAAATCACCCAAGGATGACATTGAAGTCTCCTCTGGTAGCGTAGTGGTTACGAATAAGGTTGCGATCCGCAAGGTCAGCAGTTTGAAACTACCAGGTGTTCTGCGGGAGAAAGATGAGGCTTTCTGCTCCTGTAAAGATTTATAGCCTCGGAAAACCCTGTTCAGGGTCACTATGAGTCTGAACCGACCCCACAGCACATACCACCACCAACAGTATGGAAGATGTGGAGTTACATGTCTTTATCATTTATTTTTGCTTATTGTTTACTCTTTTTATATAACATTTATGAGCATTTTAAGATTGTATCCTTCCCCTAGTATTGGCATAGTGGATTACACAGTGGGCTGCTAACCCAAGGTCAGCGGTTCAAATCTACTAGTTGCTCCATGGGAGAAAGATGAGGCTTTCTGCTCCTGTAAACACTTACAGCCTCAGAGAACGTACAGAGTCTCTATGAGTTGGCACCTACTCTGTAGTACAGAGAATAGTATTAGGACCTTTGTGGTCTAGGCTAGTTTTTATTTGATGAGGTGTCTGCAAAAATAGAGAGAATTTCATCTGTCACACTATCAGCCTAGAATATGAAGACTTCTGATCAATATTAAGATTTAGACATGGCCAAGAGAAGGAAAAAACAGTGGTGCCATGCTCCATAGAAGGTAACACTTCCTATTTTTAGAGAATTGTTGTTGTTAGTGCCATCTAGCCAGTTCAACTCACAGTGACCGTGTATACGGTTTCCAAGGAGTGGTTGGTGGGGTTAGCGGTCCAGTGCTTATCCTATTGCACCACACCAGAACTCCTTTAGAGTGTAATCACTTATTATTATTAGTCCTGGTGTGGCACTGTGGGTTAATGTGCTGGACTGCAAAGTTGGTTTGAACCTTAAATTTGGCAGTTCAAGCTTACTGTTCTCTCTTCGGAAACCCTATACAGAGTTGCTATGGGTCAGAACCAACTCGACAGCACTTAACAACAACAATAATATTGTAGCACTTACAGTGTGCCAGATACTGTTAGATGTTTTATATACATTATTTGTATCGTCACAACATTTAATACATGTAAATAGTCCCAATTTTGCAGGTGAGGAAACTGAATGAGGCTCAAGGAAGTTAAAATCTGTTTCTCAAGATATGAGAGCTATGGTAAGATATGATTAAAAAGCAGGCCAGTTTCTTTCAAATATTGACCTTTTTCCATTTTATAACCTTCTGTGTCCTATACGAATAGCTAGGATACTTCAGTTCCTTCTAAGAAGCACAGGTACTTAGGTGTGCTAAGTAAATACACTATCTTATTTGATCTCTTAGCATTTTTCTGAGATGGGATCATAATCTCCTTGTTTGAGATGAAGAAACAGAGACTTGTGTACTTTAAGGAACTTGGCTCAGGTAGTACTAGAGGCCTGATCCATAGCCAACTTGTCTACACTCAAGAAAGAGCAAGTTTCAGAGTCTCTTCTGACATCCATTTTGGTCTTTTTTTTTTTTTTTTAAGTTTTTGTTGTGAATTGAGTGATAGTTTACATGAGGGAACATCAATTTCACACTCATCGTTTCATTGCAATGATTACAATGGTATGATGTTCTTGATGTTATCCCACAACACCTTTGGTCTTTGGACATTAGTGTCTAATGCATCAAATCCATCTGTACTGGAGACGGACTTTAAATTCAGGTAGGATATACTCAAGATCATATTTTAGTGCTTATATGGAGTTGTTTTAATTTTCTTCATTTTCAGCTTAAACTTACATGTGAGCAATTGAAGGTTTGTTCCATAGTCGGCTCTTGGCCTTGTTTTGGCTAATCACACTGAGCTTCTCCACCGACTCTTTCCACAGATGTAGTCAGTTTGATTCCTGTGTGTTTTGACTGGTTGAGATCTGCTTGTGTAGTCATTGTCATGCTGTTTAAAAAGGTTATTTGCAATTAAAAAAAGTCATTGATCTTGCAAAAGTTAATCATGGGATCTCCAGCATAATTTCTATCACAAAATTCTTATTTTCTAGTTACTGATCCTTCTTCTTTGTTTCCAGCTTTTACATTCTAATCCCCAGTAGTTATCAGTGCACCTTTATTACACGTTTACTCCATTTGAGACTGAATAAGTTGGTTGTTGCTATTGTTAGGTGCCATTGGGTCGGTTCTGACTCATAATAACTGAATAAGGTTTTGGAAGGAGTCTTGTTGTATAGGGTTTCCGAAGGAGACCTGGGAGCATAGTGGGTTACAAGTTGGGCTGCAAACCATCAGGTCAGCAGTTCAAATCTACCAGCCATTCCACAGAAGAAAGATGAGGCTTTCTATACTCCTGTAAAGATTTACAGTCTCAGAAACCCTATGCAGGGTCACTGTGAGGAACTGACTCCATGGCACACTATCACATTCAATCATAGGGTTTCCAAGGAGTGACTGGTAGGTTTGAATGGCAGACTGATGTTTAGCAGTCCAATGCTTATCCTGCAGTGCCACACCAGGAGTCAGAAGAAGGTGGTAAAATTCTTCTATTTCATCATCCTTGGCTTTAGTGGTTAGTGTGTAAATTTGATAATAGTGGTATTAACTGATCTTCCTTATGTTGTTGCTGTTGCTAAGTACCGTTGAGTCGATTCCAATTCATGGTGATCCCAACCCACATAGGGTTTCCGAGGAGCAGCTGGTGGGTTTGAGCTGCATACCTTGTGGTTCAGACTGACCTTGAGGTCCAGTGTTTATCCTGTAGCACCAAACCAGGACTTCTGGTTTTCTTTGTAGGTGTATGGATATTATCCTACCATAGACAGCATTGTACTTCCAGATAGATCTTGAAATGCTGTATTTGACCTTTGGTGGTAAATAAAATGATAATGTGAAAATAGTTTGAAAAATGTCAAGTAGGATACAAATGAGTAATTCTTGTCTTCTGAAGTTTCCTTTATAAGATGTCATGACACTAAAATGTCATTCTTTTCTCCTTTTTTAATTAAAGGACTCTGTAGCATTTCAAAATCAGAGTAGCAGAATTTTATTCATGACATGGGAACAGAGTTTCTAGCTTCAGTGTTAAAGATATTAACTTTTAGAACTGAGGAAGCTGTGATTGAGTCCTGGAATCTCGATTCAATTGACTAATTTTGTGATGAACTTACCTCCAGACAACTCTTTTATCTTCCTCATTAACTCAAGTGGACATGTGTTCTCAGAAGCTAGCCCCAGTCCTCCTAACAGATCCTGTTTATTCATGGAAACTTAATGCCCAGCCTACTTGCCTTTCTATATTCAAATAATAAAGGAAGCATTTATTTAACACATGATAAACTCCCAGAAGCCCTATACAGGGTGGCTATGAGTCAGAACTGACTTGAGGGCACTTAACAACAACAACACACTTCTGCAAGAGTTATTGAGATGTTGTTGTTGTTTTTAAGTGCCTGACATTCCATTATAATACACAGTGATCTTGTGTAGGGTTTCCTACTGTTAGTGGGCTTGAACCTCCAACCTTTCA